TAGACTATGACCATATTGGAAAGGCTTCCAGTATAAAACAAAAAGCACGTTTGGACCAACAGTTGACTTCTCTACTCTATATAGATTTATGAGTGGAACTTGGTCGAAAAGAATAATTTTTCAGCCTTGGAAAATCTTTGATTTTTTGAACATCTGACACTTCAAAACAATTGTAGTAGTGTGCAGGTGGTGTGAAAATACTAAACAAGTCTATTTTTGCCAGAAAAAATCGGTTGAAAAACACTGTTAAACCATATAGTAGGAAATGAAAATTTTTCCTTCAGTATTCTTTGGTGGCTCCATATCGAATCCTCCCATTAGGCAACAGATGATGCTCATTCTCCCAGAAACAAGCACGCGTATTAGTGGTTGACATGAACTTGACCCACACCATAAAGTACACAATGTTATAGTTTTGAACTGGTGAAGGTACTAAATTTGTCTAACAACCACTATATATTGGAAAATTTTCTTAATAAACAATCTGTATTCCTCAAAAGCTGCACCTGCCCATCCCTCACCTGGAATCAATACCACGATTTGTCTTTCTATTTGACCTATTTAACAATGGCTGAATGGGTTTTTGTTCTCTCGTCACGCGCACCCAACTACACTGCTATTTTCTGATATCGGCTAACGGAAATGTTTCACACTTTTCAGATCGTGACTTGATGAGTTTTTTCATAGAATTCAAATACAAAGATGTTGAATGTTGACGATAGCACTCTACTTATCACCCTCAGACAATACATTGCGTCTAAGCACAGTGTCAGTTTTTTTGAATATATCTTCTCAAGGCTTGTCATGCATAACAGTGATAGAAAATGAATATGTCTATTCAACAGTAGGATAACGGATGGTCAACATGCTTTCAAAGCTGATGATGCGTTTTATTAAGCAACTTTGTTAAATATTTAACCTACGATGCAAAAGTAATTTTTTGTTGGAAAAAGCAATATCTGAACTACCAATTTTATAGCACACAAATTTTTGTAGAACGGATCTGAAAAGAGATAAAAGTCCAAAACCAAATATCTCAAAAAAGTTCTTGCAATTGAAGCATGCAGCAAAATCACTTTCTAATTTCTGTGAATTTTTTTTATACTAGAAGAGAATGAAAGAAACACATCCTCTGATGATCTTTGTCATATAAAGAGTGCTCTTTCCAATGGTGTATTGCAAGTTAAATTTGATCTTGATTTTTATACGAAAATATTGTTCTTTCTGAAGAGACTGAATAATTGTCTCGTGTTGTACTCTTGCAAACTGACACTTCTTGCAAAAGACTCTGTTTTTCAAAACTTTTCTTTTTCAAATTCATTTATTAAAGAGCCAAGAGAATATATGAAATTTTTCTACGACAGCCGCCATCGATAGAGTTTTAATGGACCACATGTTGGTGTACTTTTTTGTTCGAATTTGGCCTAGGTAGCTCAAAATAATTGAGACATACATATTTTTCAGATGGCAAAAAAGTTGCAAGAACTTTTTTGGAGATGTTTGGTTTTGGGCTTTTATCTCTTCTCAGATCCATTCTACACGAATTTGTGCGCTATGAAATATGTAGTTCAGATATTACTCTTTCCAACAAAATAAAACTTCCGTTGGTTTAGAAGTTAGCAATGCGGTCTAATAGAGTTTGACATGTCGGCAATTACTTGTGCATCGTAGGTCAGAAGAGTATGTTTGGAAAAATTCGATTTCATTTGATACAACACAACCTGATCTCCAAAACTACTATCAGAATAATAAATCTTCTAAGGCAGCTTGGCTTGAACAACAAAGCCTCTTCTTTCGTGAAGTCGCATAGCGTCAATAGTTGTGTCATGTGCTACTATTTCAGCGAAGAGAATGTGGCGGAATGATTTCAGAATTTCATCACTGTACTCTCGCGATAATTGAGTGCCGTAACCTTGGTCGACGATAGCAGGATCCACCATCATTGTAACGTTGCTGAGAATATGTGCTTGACGACGGAACTCGCTTGTGTATCCTTTCTAAAAAACAATTAATCTGTCATTCTTAAACATAAGCAGAACTAAGCTGCCAAGAGTAGCTTGTTGAAGCATTAACTGCACGAAATGTAAGGTAAGTTCATCGATTTCTTGAGTAAATTGATCAGGATAGGCGGTAACTACCTTTTTCTATAGATTCAGAATAGCCGGTGCATCTTCAAATGTACCTCATCTGATTACTGATGGAATGTTAATGCTGTAATGTCGCTTCGATGACGACTTTATTGTTTTGAAAATGTTTAGTAGTACATTACAACAGATAGTAGGCATGATATTCTTCTTACTGGCAATATCTGCAGGTGACTAATGACCAAAGATCTATGAACACATAAAAGAGTTCATGGGAGTAGATTCGAAGACTAAAGGTACACTTAAAAATAGGAACAAATGCCTATGAATGAGTATGCATTAAAGGCACATACTTTGTTTTGTGAATTCGACCAAATTGAATTTATATATGGAAGGATTTCTCAATTCAAATCAGTTTCTTGCTACTAAGACTAAGCGATCCTCCAATGGTATGACCTTGTACACAGTACCTGATTCGCGAATACTTTTTGCTACTTCTTGCATACCCACAAATAAAGACTCGTGTTCTCGTCAAGTTCACCAAAACTCTTTGCATAGGAAGTGCGAGTATATCGCTTAGTTTGCTAGTGATGACTGCTTGCAGCGCGCATATCTATATTTACATCCAGTGTCATAATCAACTCATGCCGTGTCAATGAAAACCATATTGAAGTTCTATTTGGGATCACCAATATTTTGTCGAATTGAAAGAATGTAACATTACGTTCTCTTAGTCTCCTGCACAAGATAGAACACCTATTGTATTTGATCGATTAAGTATAGAATTCTTCAACAAAACGTAGACTTCAGTAAAAAGAAAACAGACTCAAGCATGCATCAAATCGGGCGAAAAAGAAAGGATAAAGCTGTTGCTCACTGTCACTTGTTGCTTATTTACTTGATTGTGATTACATTCCTTTTCGTTGAAAACTATTAGTGATGTTGGAGTATTGATCTTTCGAGTCCAACAGCGCAAATATTGATAAAACTGTCCTTTCACATTCAGCACTTGTGCACACACTTATATAACATTGTGCATGGGTTCGCGAAGCGTGTGTTGATCCATTTTTCAGTCCAATAAACACTGTCAGAACATAAGAGAGCATGCTCGAGAGTCATCTTTTCACCCACGCAGACAATCCGATCTATTATATCATTTATAATCAGATTTTAAATATTAAACATAATAATAAGAGACTAGTAAACGTTAAATTATTGCTATTAGAAGTTACACAAAGCAAAGAATGAAATGGTGGAATATGAAATTATATCTATCACATTACAGTCTACATTAAACAGACATGTTTTGTCTCTCATTCTTATATTTGCCTAGTAAACTACAAAAGAAGCAATGTTGAATATCTTTTATTGATTTTGCCCTTTGGTTTTAGTCAAGAGAGAGAAAAGAAGAATTAGTATTAATATGCATCATTTGTCTCATTGATTTCAGCATGCTAAAACACAGTATTTTACATGATATTGATGTATAAATTGTATACAATCCACTGCGAAAAAATGGTCGATTGAATCACTAATCAAGTATTCAGTGTATTTTTGATTTCTAATAATTATCATTAAAAAAATAATACTATATATCACTAGATGAAGCAAAAGTCATTGAAATAAACGAATCAAATATTATAGTACAATTGCATCAACAAAAATGTTTTGCATCGTATAGAATAAAATAAGCATGATAATTTATTTTCTTAGGTGTGATATCAAAATTATAATGTCCAACTTGTCCAAGCTTACGAAAAAAATGTGAATTAGAGCAATCATGATCATAAAACACATTTTGAGATTCATTAGGAATCGTATTTGCTTATTTCTGTGCGTTCTCTATTGAGAAAAAAAGTGAAAAAATATTTCAGAAGGCAGGAGCAACAGCCCACGTACCCCACCTCTCAACTCTAAATTTGTTACTACTATATTATATCAGATCTTTGACTTTGTTGGGTCGATTGATTAGACTATTATTATTTGTGAAATAATATTTATTTTTATTTTCGCTTTTCAAATAATTGAATTTATTATTGACGTCAGGTCAAAAGACCAAGCAAATCAATTCCTTACAAATTTCATATCGATGCAATTACTATCATATATGTAGCATTAATTTAGTTTTTAATGTTAATTGTTTTACATTGTTCAGTTTGCTGATAAAATACATTTATCATGTTCATATTTAACTCAACAAGATTTCGACCTTGCACTTCGACATCCTACATATACGAACTAGTCATTTCTGTATATATATGTGTTCTATTACGTTGTTAAAATAAGATAATATTTATCTACCTACTTGAATCAACGAGGCGGTCTTTTTTTTTTTTTTTTTGTTAATCATTACCCTTTGCACAGCCGTTTATTCGTTCGTTCGTTGTTTTTACTTGTTTCTTTTCCATGCATACTGATTTGTGCATCAATTCAATTGTCAAAGTATGTTATTCAACAGCATATCAATTTATTCAATATCTTTTATTGGTATCATATTAATTATTATTGTTTTAAGTCTTTCAAATACTCGAACTATGTTTACAAATCAATTACATACTAAACGAAAAAAACGTTATTCAATAAATAATGATACAAATAATTTAAAAAATTTATATATGACAATTCAGATGAATCGACTTTCAAATATAGATAGTATTAAATATATTCGAAGTGGAATAACAACAATACCATTACATGATGATGAAGAATTAATGAAATCTGAAATCTCATTAAAATTTTATGAAAATGATGCAATTGAATTACGTTTAGAACAAGATTTTGATTCTGACAACGAGATGAATGATGAAAATGATAATTAACAGTCTTTCAAAGCCTTTTTGTCTTTTATTTCTTAAATAAAAATGTTTATATTAAAAAAAAAAACAAAATACTCTTAATAAATTATTAACAATCTGTTTATTCATCTTTTTCATGTTTATGTTCAAATTCATTCAATGTTTCAATTGGATTCTCTTTCATTTGAATATTTTCAATTGATGCATCTTTATTATTCGTTATTTCACGTGATCGAATTAATTCTGTTTCATAACGCATTAATTGCAATAAAAATCCTTCATTTGGCCATATTTGTGGACGTTTTTCAATAAGATAATAAAATGCTTCTTTTAATGTATTATGATGATATTTCATTAAATAAGCAAGAACAATGGTTGCTGAACGAGATACGCCTAAAATAAACAAAAAATTTTAATTTAAATTTTCAAAAAAAAAAAAAAAAGAATTTCTCTTCTTTACCAGCAGCACAATGTACTAAACATCGTTCTTTCTTTTCATAAAATCCATGTAATAATTCATTTGTTCGATCAAAATGCTAAATATATGAAAAAAAAATGATATATTATTTATTGTTTGCATTTATAAATGACTATATATAAATATTCTACTTGTTTTATATTTGTACGAGGTTCATCAGGCATTGGAATATGAACAACATTGAAATTATTAAGAATTGTTTGTCCTAATGATAAGTCACATACATTTATTATATGTTCTAAAGAATAATAATAATGAAAATTTCTTAATAAAATTTAATAATAAAAAAAAAGAATTTTATACTAATATTAAATTCTTCAAGTAAATTTTGATTTGTTGCATGTTGAAAATTTCCCAAAAAAAGAAAATCATCAAGTACAATGGATGGTTCAGCAGTTCTACCAAATCGATAAAATTTATCAAATGCTAAACCACGTTCAAATTCAAAAAGTTTCATTCGTTCACGTTCTTCATCTGTCATATGTAATAAAGAATTTTCCTCTGTTAAATACTTAGCATTAAAGAGTGTTAACATCTTTTTTATGATGAAAAGAATAATTATAAATATAATCTAAAATAATTTATATTAGAATAGAATTAATACATCAAGGGAATTATCAGTATCTATCTGTAGTGTAGTTATCTTGTGATAATTATTAGATGTGTAAGTCGATACACGGATCGATGATGACAAGTGAAATTTTTTGATGAAGTTTACTTAATTTTAAGAAACTTTGAATTAAAAAAGAGAGAAGTTATCGAGATGATAATATCTCCAAAAAATTGATTCAAAATGTGTCAGGGCTTAATTAATCAGTTGACATGTTTAGTAACTATATTCTGAATGACTACTTGGAATAAGAAAAATAGGTCAAGGAGTAATAGTATCTCAAGATGATGAATACAAATTCCGTAAAGACTTCGTATTTCGCTATATTGGATGATTCAGTCTTACAACCATATTTCTTCGCATTGTATGTGGAGAAATACGATAGTTTACAGTAAGATACTTAGTAAAACAAGAGTCATATACGAACTCCATCAGCGATCGTATTTCTCCATATGCAAAACGGACAAATATAATTTGCAATACTGCACCATGTAATATATCAATATAAAATGATTTACGACTGTAATACTTTTACAAGTGATAATCATTGTTATTAAACTATTGAATGGTTTCATCCATTATGTTTAATTAAAATCAAATTATTTGAATAATATAACATAAAGATTTTGGTTTTTTTATACGAATAGTGCATAAAGAACTAATTGTATATATATGTCAGCGTCCAAACTGAGATTACGTCCAATCTCAGATTGGCCTAGGCGAATGTCGGATCCGAGATTGGACGCGTCCAATCTCGGATTGATGCAATTCTGTTCATTAAAATATCAATTACCCTGTAGACAGACCTTGGATTCGAACTATTTTTTTTCAGTTATGTTCACACGATGCCAGTTTGTTTGGCACAATTGTCATTTGACAAATTTGAATAAAATTTTAGGAGTTATGAATAAATTTCTAGAGAACAAGAACTTATGTGAAAAACTTTTATTACATTTTTGAGTCTAAATTTAGCTTCTTCCTAAATGCTTGTAATACTTAAAACGGCATTGTGTGAACATAATTTCAAAAAATAGTTCGAATCCAAGGTCTGTCTAAAGGGTAATTGATATTTTAATGAACAGAATTGCATCAATCCGAGATTCGCCTAGGCCAATCTGAGATTGGACGTAATCTCAGTTTGGACGCTGACATATATATATATACTGAACTTCATTAGTTAAATGTATCATATTCGAAAGCATTTGTTTTTTTTTTTTTTTATAAACATAAAAATCAAATTTTGTTTGGTCTCGATAAATGTTACTTGTTTGTATTGAAGAATAGAGAATTTTAGGAAATTCTTTTGTGCATAAAAAAAACAAGGAACAAACGATATGATAAACGTTTTCGTTAATAAATCATGCCGATAACACGACAAATCATGCGAGAATATAGCAAATTTAGATTTTCAGAAAATTCAAATTTCTGCGTATCATTATTTAATGAATGCTAGAAAGTGAAGAATCCTATTGCCAGAGTTCAAAATAATCTAACTGATGTATAACTAAAACTTCATCTTTATACATTCAATTGAAAGGATACAACTTCTAGGTTTGCGTTGGTTCGGACTGAAAAATTTATTTTATTATCACATGTATAAAGATTGTGACATTGAAATATCTGCTACCGCAACCATCAGAAAAAAATGTTTCAACCAAAATTAAAAATTACAATTAAATATTTTCTAGTCTTAAGCATGTTTTCTTCTAAATCACAAATCAATACATTATTCAATTTAGAATAAGTTTCTCTAGAATAGAAGTAGTGGAAACAAAATTACTTGGACCATGTCGAAGTGAAAACCAAAAACAATTGGTTCTGCACATGTCTAATGATAGCAAATAGCCATCAGATGAATTTCCTGAACCAACTCAACGCAAATAATATATACTTCATCTTTAATTTCTCATAATTATTTCATTTGAATTTTCTAGAAATAGAAATTTACTATTTTATATATTTCATGCAGAAACAAAAAAACAGACATGCAATTGCTTTTTTTTTACAGTCTAAATCTGATTGAAAATTATTGATATCAAGTTATGGTAGATTATTGTTTAATTTATACTCATTTGATTCACAAGTAAAAAAATTTAAAGATGTCTTTTCTACGAAAGAAAAAAAAAATACTTTTCTCATCATTTTATACTGAAAAAAAAAGCTTTCATTTGCATACCTGTTTTGAATTTTATCTATAACAAATAATAAATTGGATATGCTCATCAATAAGATAACCATAAAAAGTCTCGTAATACCTTGTAATGACTCATTATGTTAAATTGATCGATCTACTAGAATATCTATTATGACACTAACTTTGACCTTTTAGACACAATGAACAATAGATGAAAAATCGATACTGTACAAAATTTATCTGAAGAGGCGCAATGCTGTCTGGCCAGGTCATCAGCATTCTCATTCTCTGTTGTAACCTTTAAATAGAATAGCAAATCACCGAATTAATAACTAGCAGGAATGTAACGACATCTAGATAACAATCAAATTTTTACAGAATCCATTGTCATGGTAATCGAAAAACCTATATATATATTATAAATTTGCATGATGTTCAATATTGTTACGGTTAGAATAAACATTTCCGAACTCAGATATAGATTCTTGAAAATTTGTTAGGTTTTTATGTAAAGAGTTTTCTTATCAAAAATTTGTCTCCGAATTTTGCGCTTTTTCTTTTTTTAATCAATCATTCATTGAACGTAATAGAAACAGACTTTCACCTGTTCTCTATAGACATTCTTTATTCAAACCCCTCAGCTCTGTGATTAACTCGACAGATCCTATTGCAATAATGATATTAGAAAAGATTTAAAAATAAGTTGGCACTACCTGTTTTGAGCTTCAAAATGATATTTTGTGATTATCATCATCTTCATTATCAAAATCGTAGATTCATCACTTCTCTATTGTCCATTGTATTACGTACGATTTATAAGACGGCAACTTTATTTTTATATTATGCAAGATTTCCTAACTCACACAATTTAACAAAAAGGAAAAAATCTCAACAATTGAAATATGATTTAATAATAACATAGTAATGTTAAATCGATAGTTTTTCCCTTATTGCTAGTTACATTGTATTCAGACTCCTGTATGAAATAACTTATTTTCTCATAAGAAACCATCAAGTGCATTCAAAGATCTTATGTTTTTTTGTCTTTATTCACTTATTAATTCACCTTTAGAATCATACTGATAATTCCCTGATATAATTTATATTTATAAAACTTACCCAATGAAATCGCGATATAATTAATCCAAGGAAATCATTTATATTCATAGCAAATAATAATGACGAAGAAACAATAAAACAAATGAATGAAATCCATCGATGATGAGTAATAACGTGTCAATTGTTTTATTGGTTAAGAAATTTGACGAATAAAAAATCTTTATCGAAACTTTTCAAAGAGAAAAATTTTTTTAGACGATCAAAAAAATCTTTTAATATATAAAAAATTTATTTCATAATATCGATTCATCATTTATTCTTATTTTTCTTTTTTTATAATATGCAAAAACTAAAACAAAATAGAGGTTTACGAAATGGAACAATGATAACTGCTTGACAGAATTTATTAACAGCAAATCAATCAATCTCTATTTAGATAAAAAAAAAAAAAAAAGAATTTTTTTTTGTTTTTCTTTTCTATCAAATGTGTATCCAAAATAAATTCATTCATAAATAAAAAGAAAAAAATCATGTATGGAAAAAATAAAAATCTTAATGCTCCATCAGATATTCATGCAAAAGAAAAGTTCGTATTATAAATTATCTTTTTTCTTGTATCTTTAAATTTTTCTTTTTTTCTTTACAGATTAAATCTTTATGTTTATGAATATCTGTATCATATTGGTGCAGCAAAAGCTGCTCAAGGATTTTGTGCGGATGTAAATTACATTTTTTTGTTTTTCGATTTTAATTCTAATTAAAAATTTTTATTATAAAGATGAAATGGGAACCAAATAAAATGTCACTTGGTGAACCACCTGGTTTTTTACTTAGTTGGTGGTGGTAAGTAATAAAATTTGATTTAGAATATGATTTTATTTTTTTTATTTTAGTGTTTTTTGGGATTTATATAGTGCTGCACCAGAACGTCGAGATCAACATCCACATTCAGAAGAAGCAAAAGCTTTTCATGATTATGTAAGACAAATATAATCTTTTTTTTTTTTGTATTTAAAATTCAACAAAACAAAAACTTTATTTTAAGGGATTTATTAATTCAAATGGCATGCCTCCTCAAGTATAAAAGATTTGTTTTTCCTTTCGAAATTTATTTTAGAAGAAATTTATTTTCTATAGCCTAATACAAATCCAAATGGTCCACCACCAATGCCAATGAATGTAAATGAAGGCATGCATAATCCAAATGTTTCATTTTTTCCTGTAAGATAATTTCTTAAAAAAAAATAAACTTGTTTAATTTTATTATTCTATAGCCATCGGGACAACCAATGATAAATCAGGTATAATCAGTAAATTGATATTGAATATAAAACAAGAAATATTTTAGTATCCACGTTATCCAAGTGCTCCACCACGTTCACTTGTTCGAATGCCACCACAACCTGATTATCCCGTAAAAAAAAGAAACATTATAAAATTTAGATTTAAGTTTATTTTCATATATATAGGGTGGACCAGTTATGCCACCACAAATGGATAGTGGTCGAAATGGTATTTAGATGATATAAAGAGAAAAAAAATTGTTTTTTTTTTCAAATAATATGTATTAATAGGTTTACGAATGACATCTCCAGGTGCTCGAATGCCATCAAATCCAATTGGTCATCCGGGTCCTGGTGGACAATTACCGAATCCATATCGACCTCAAGTTATGTCACCATCAATCAATCAACCTGGACCAAGAATGCATATTACAAATTCACCAGGAGTAAGCTACGAATTACTAATCATTGTTTTTATATTTAAAAAAATATTATTTAGGTTGGTTATTCTTCATCATCACCTATTCCTTATGGAGTATGTATCTTTTCTCTATATGAAATTAAACTATAATTATTATTCTAGAATCCTTGTCCAACCGGTCATGCACCAACAACACCAACAATGATGCCAAGTCCACAAGGTTTGTTCAATGACGAAGAATATGTAAATATTTTTCTTTTGTATTTTTGTCTTATCTTCTATTTAGATTCAAATAGTGGAGAAATGCAACCCTATAGTATGCGAAATATACCGACCAGTATGGGCCATGGACCAAATCCTATGGTAATAATATATGTTATAAAATGTTTAAAAACTAACTTTTTTTTTTAAATGAAACATGATCTAAACATGTACATATAGACTAATAGTAAACGCATGATAAAAGTATAATGTTCTTGCATTAATTCTTTTGTTCGAAAAAATCATTTTCAAGATATTCACTGAACTGTATAAAGAATAGATTTCTATCGACTAAAAATTTCGAAATGAATTTAAGATAACAGTCTTCATTGTTCTTCTACATGTACATATCTAGACTTGTGTTTATTGTTGCACTACTATTTTTGTTGTATGTTTCAAAGATAAACTAGAATGGTAATAATTAGGGGTCGACAAGCTCAGCTCAGTTCTGCTCAGAAGAACTGTTCGAACAGCTCTTTTGAGCTAAGCTGAACCGGTTCGTTTGAGCTGTGTTCCTAAAACAGAACACTTTTGTTCTTTTATGGGAATTATTTCCCGAAAACGGAACAAGTGTTCTGTTTTGGGAACACAGCTCAAACGAACCGGTTCAGCTCAGCTCAAAAGAGCTGTTCGAACAGTTCCTCTGAGTGGAACTGAGCTGAGCTCGTCGACCCCTAGTAATAATGAAGTATCTCTTAAAATAGATAGAATAAATACAATGATTCACTGATTATCACAAATAGTTATTTCATATTTCTTATTTTCTAGTATCATGATCCACATCTAACACATATGCCACCTGATATGACACATCATGGTTCTATAAATGGTTTGTTCAATTATTTTTTTTTTTGTTTTGAATTAGTAAAATAATTTTTAAACAAGATTTTATAGGTGATTATGATCAACAAATGAAACAATCACCTAATCAACAACAACAAACTCAACCACCACCACCACCACAACCACCTGATGTAACAAATTATAATTATACAGAAGATCCAAGTAATGATACAAATGCTATATTAAAATTAAAAGAATCCATGCAAGAAGAAGTTAAAAAATTTGATAAAACACCGAATAGTTCACATAATGATGATTATAATCATTTTGGTTCACTTGGATAATATTAAAAAAAAATCCGCACACACATATATACATTTTCTGATAAGAAAAATCTCATTTTGCTTATTCAGTTTCTATTTGTTCGGTCACTTTTTGTTCCTTCTTCTTCTTCCTTTTTTTTTTTTAGTGTGAAACTATTTTGTGTGCACGTCTTTGTTCGTTCTTTTTTTTGTTTTTTACTATGTAGAATATTCTTCATGTGTGTGCGGGCAATAACAGTGATATTGAAGAAGAAAGAAGAATTTCGTCGTATTTTTTTTTTCGGTTAAAAAAAAAGAAAGAGAAGAATTACACACGACGAGTCTTCCAAAGAATAACACAACATTTTGATTTAAGCTTCAATAGCAACAAACAAAGAAAATATAATAATAATAATAATAAAAGAAAATGCATCTCTATATGTATGTGTGCGTGTCCTTTTTTGTTTTTTGTATGATGTACATTTATTTCTTTACATGTGTGTATGTATGAGCAATTTTGTCTTCTTCTATATATCCTTAAATATACATATTTCAAGAAAAAGATTATTGTTATTAAATGAAATAGAAATAGAAAACTTAAATATTTATTTGATAAGAAAAAAAAAATGAAATTTTTTTTGTTTTTGTCATCTTTTAAATTGATAAAATCTTATTTTAATTTTACTCAAATATAATTCATCTATGTTTTCTCTTGATAAGAACGTTTTCTTTTGTTTTGTAATTTTCCGTAGAGATCAAGAAACAAAACGAAATATACATATTTTCTCGACTAATGAATAATTATTAGAAATGTGTAGACTCAAATTTTTTTTGTTTTTTTAGTCCCAGCCTTGTTTTGATGATATTTTGCCTGTATAGATACGTTCTAATACAAACCCTGCAAGAATTTTGGTTCCTATTGACATTTGATTAAAATATCGAATTTTTAAATATGTCGATTTTTTAGAAGTGTCAGATTTTCGAAAAATTCGAATTTTGTGCATACAGAGAATTCAATTGTAGATTAACTTCGATAGCTTTTTTTTTATTAGAAAAAGTTCTAATATGTTTTATCAAAAAAAATTCATTGAAGTCGGAAAGAAGTTACAGAAAAATTATGTCAGAATTTATTTGCATTAAATCGAAAAAAATCTTTTAAATACACAATATTTTAATTGACTCAACCGTTCGTCAATGTTGCTGGTTTTTTGATCATTTTACTTGAATTTTATTTTTATTGATACGATTTATAACAAGATTTGCTACAAGCATAGAAAACTTAGTTTTCGTTTAAACAAATTTTTTTCTTGTACTTCCGATCCTGCATAACTTATAACTAGACATAAGTAAAAAACCTAAACCATATATTAAAATTCATTTTACATATATATATGATATTATATTGTTTAAGATTTTCTGATGATAACTATTCGAAAGTGATAGTGATTGTTTACGATTATTATAGATATACTGATTTATTCGTATTATTTTGTTATCGAAAGTATTAAACAAAATGGAAATGTTTGCATTGATATTTTACGATGATGTAGTTTTCTTTATGATTTTAATTGATAACATGATGATAATTAGTGAAAGTCATATTTTTCTTTTAACTAAAATTCTATACATTTATAACTAATAGTGCATAATGTTTTTACTAACATATTCTTTGTCTATGTTAATCAGATTTTTATTTTTATCATTAATAGAGAATACGTATTTTGCTTTGCTACTATTGTAATAATTCAAGCATTTTATATATGAAATGAATCTATAATTTTGATTAATTAAATAAATAAAATAATGAGGAAAAATATTTGTTAATATGTTTTTCTTTTCTTTTTCTTACTCTTGTATCACAAGTTTTATATTGTAAAATAATGTGCTATGCATCATTTAATTTCGTTTTGTTTTTCTTTTATATTCGTTGAAAACAAAAGTCGAGACAATAGAATAGTCAAAATAAATATTATTTATTTTTGTTAAGCTAAAGGATTAATAGATTGAATTTCATTAAATATTAAAATAAAAGATTGTATGAAACTTTTGTTTTTGTTTTTAATATTTATTTTCTAGATTATGAATGAAAAATTAGATCAACAATATTTTGATGTTAATTTTGATTTTCATCAAAATAAATATGAACCAATTAAAAATATTGGTAATCTCTTTTTTGATACTTTTAATTATGAATGTGATGATTTTATTTTTTGTTAAAGGTAATGGTGCATATGGTGTTGTATGTCTTGCACGTCATTGTAAAACAGGAATTAATGTAGCAATTAAAAAAATAACTAATGTATTTGAACATTTTCTTATTGGTATGAGAACATATCGTGAAATAAAAATTTTACGTCATCTTGTTAATCATGAAAATATTATAACGATTCGAGATGTTTTTCTTGGTTCAAATAATAATCAAGATGTTTATATTGTATTTGATTATATGGATACTGATTTAAAACGTGTACTTGAATCAAATCAAACATTAACAAATGATCATATTAAATATTTTTCTTATCAAATATTAAATGGTTTAGCTTTTATTCATCAATCTGGAATTGTAAGATAAATAGATAATAATAAAAAAAAACAAATTTAATCAAATCATTTATTTAGATTCATCGTGATCTTAAACCATCAAATATTCTTCTTAGTCAAACATGTAATCTCAAAATAGCAGATTTTGGTAAGAAAGATTTATTCATTCATTGGGACAAAAACAAAAATCTTTTTGTTTTTTTTTTTCAAACAAAAAAAAAGGTATGGCTCGACAATATCGTGATCATGATCAAACACAATATGTTGTTACACGTTGGTATCGAGCACCTGAAGTTATTCTTGGTTATACTGAATATACTCAAGCAATTGATCTTTGGTCAATGGGTTGTATTTTAGCTGAAATGTTTGGACGAAAACCAATATTTTCTGGTAGAAAATTTCAGTTTATTTTTAATAAATATTAATTGAACATTTATAGGTACAAATACTATAGCACAAATTCAATTAATTTTTATTATACTTGGTACACCATCAAAATCTTATTTATCTTCACTTCATAGTGATTGTTTTCGACGATTAATTTTAAGTAAGTACATGATAAAGAATGATGACAAAAAACTAATTATTTATAATACATTAGGTGTTGGTAATCGTCAACCAGCTAATTTTAAAGCTTTGTATCCGAATGCAACTGATGATGGAATTGATTTATTACGTCAATTATTAGTTGTTGATCCTGAACAAAGAATAAGTGCAACAATAGCACTTCAACATAGTTTTGTTAATGAATTTCTAATTAAATTAGATGATAATGATGATTGTATGATAGAAAATGATGTTGAAAAATTTGATTTTGGTTTTGAAAGTGAAGTTAGTTGAACATTTATTTGTTTGTTTTTTTCGAAGAAAGAAAAAAAAAAATGCTTGTTATTTAGAAATGGACATTAAATCAATTACAAAAAGCTATTCATGAAGAAATAGATCATTTTCAATTTCGATCAATAAAACAAAATAATAATGAAAAAGTAACAACAAATATTGATCCAATTTTTCCTTCTAATCAATCTATGGAAACTCATCATCATCATCGAGTAGTCATTGTTGATTCAACACCACCTATAACATCAACAACAACAAAACTTGAAATCGATACAACACGTACACTTGAAAAAAAACGTAAACATCGACGTATGTTGCTTAGATGTAATTATTAAAATATATGATTGAATATGAATTTTTACTAGGACGAAAAAATGATCATCATCATCATCATCATTATCATTCAAAACGTTCTTGTTCAATGATTTATAATGATGAACAAACTGGAAGTGGTGATACTAATGATGAAGAACCTATTCATCTTTCCTAAATAATTTTTATAATTATTGTTTTATATTCGAATGTATGACATTATATATTTTTCAAGTTTCTCAGCATTTATATAATAAATTTTTATTTATTTATTTATTTATTTATATAATCTCCGTGTGCATACACAAACACTTAAAATGTGTGTATGCCTATTCTTATCTCCACATATTCTTCTTGTGTTACTTATTTCAACAAGCGCATTACGAGAGCAAACAGATAGAACAAAAAAAAAGGGAAAAAAAGCGAGTGTGTAAGTGAGTGAACTTGTGTATTTTTTATTTAGACGCAAATGATATAAACGATATTATATAATGGCACGGTCAATTATTCCTCAAACAATAAATGGTGTACGAACACCAATTGATGATACACTTCCAATGACATGTGTTATTGAAAGTTCACAACTTGTTGAAGGACATGGGGTAATGCGTAAAATAAAATATTTTTGATGATTAAATAAAATAAAAAAGAATTAGGTTTATTCTATTCGAGTTGCACGTGCTTCAAATGATCCATCATGTTCATGGGTTGTTACCAAACGTTTTAGAGAATTTGATGATCTTAATAATATTTTAAAAGAATATGGTTTCGAATTTGAATTACCAAAGAAAAAACTTCTTGGTAGAACTGATCGAACATTTATGGCTGAAAGACAAAAAGGTCTTCAAGTATGTTATGAAAATGATTTGGTTGTTTGTTTTTTTTTATATGAAATTTCTTTAGACATATCTTCATACACTTGTTCAACAATTCGAACTTTGTAATTCATTAGTAATACAACGTTTTCTTGATCCAGAAAATCATATGATGAATTATTCAGGTATTTATTTATATAAAGAAATTTTTAAGTTTTCTTCTTGTTTTTTTTTTTTTTTTTTTTAATTTTAGAATTAGCGTTACAACATGTGTCAATGTTTATTCGTTCAACGAATAATATCTATCAAATTGTTGAACAACTACCGGATTTAGGTTGGCGATATAATAAAAGTTATTTTTTAGCAACTAAAACTGGTGTTTCGAAAGATGACCGTTATCTTTTATCATGGGTATTCAATTGAAGTTGAATAATGTTTACTTTAGTTTCTTTTTTTCTTTTTAGTGTCATTATGGATTAGACAAAGCATTTGGAGAAAAAGATATTGCTAATTGTTTAAAATTATTAAAATCAATTGTGGTAGGTGAATATATGTAGAAATTTAAATGATCTTTCATTTTATTCTAGCATCCACTTATCGTTCCAATTGATGAAATTTATGCTAATGAAACTGGTACACTTACTGTTTGTCGATTCTATAGTAAAGGTTCATTAAAAGATTATCTTCATCAGGTATGAAAAAGATAGAAAAGTTTATTTTTATTTTAAATCTAATTTATAGACAAAACCAATAAATGGTGCATATTGGAAACGTTATGGTCCAAAATCATTATCACGGGGATGTGATTTAAATCAAATTAAAAGTTTCGGTCGTCAAATTTTAGAAGCATTACTTTTCATTTATGATAATGGTCTTGTTTATGGACACTTACATTCCGGCAATATTCTGTTTGATCTTGATCAAGCATTACCAATTAAATTACTCGATATAGCCAACGCAATTGTAGGTGTTTCATCGAAATATCGTTGTCATATTTCTAATCTTAAACAAATTCGTGTAAGTCAAAAAAATAAAAAAAAAAAAAAAATGAAATATTTTTTTTTTTGTTTGTATTTCTAGACACTCGAACATTGTGATGTTTATGCATTTGGACGAGTCTTATATGAGTTATCAACAGGTGAAGAATGTCCAACAAGTACTTGTATACAATTTCCAAATACAGTACCAATATCTGTGCAACATGTTCTTTTAAAAATTCTTGCACCAACAGGAGATTTACCAACAATTCAAGAACTCTTAGATGATTCGTAAACATAATTCAAATATACTTTCCTATCATTATTTGTTATATTTTTTTGTTTGAAGATTTTTTCAACAAACGACATCAAATAATATCGAACGATTTCAATTAAAATTAAGTCCAAAAGCAAAAGAAGCATTTGAACAAATTAGTCGAACTGCTCAAGGTCGATTAGAAGGTGATCAAGCAAAAGTAAATTTAAATCCTAAAAAAAAAATTTTGTTTTCTTTGTTTTTTTTTGTTGTTGCTTAGATTAAAAATGTACAACGTCGTACCAGACTTGCTAATCATCTCATGTCGGATGAAGAAAGACTTAAACGACGTAGAGAAAGACAAGTCTGTCTTGTTTTTTATCAAGTTGAAAAAATAAAATTTATTATTTATATTTTAGGCTAAAGCACTGGAACAAAATCCAGATCCTAACACCAATTCACCTGGCGCATCAAGTATGTTTTAAGTTTTAATGAACTAAAGAATTTCAATCTACGTTTAAACAAACATTTACAAGAGGACGTAGTCTGTCAGATACTTTTCGATGAGCTATTATGAACATGACTTAGTTTCTATGCAATTAACGAGCTACGCTCGTAACTTATAAATCTCTCTTTTGAGTCGAGACTATGTGCATTATGTAAATCTGAATGAGCTATGAATACATGCCGGGATTTTCCTCAAGAAAATTCATTTTTCGAATTTCAACTTGAAATCTTGCCTAGAGAGGAACCTTAACATAATAACATCAAATAACCATAAGCCTGCAGAGACTTAGTAATAATAATCTAAAGACATCAACTATTTTCAGAGTATCTATAGCTGATTTCCTTCATAATAAACATTTACAAAGAGTTTGGCTCATCATTGAATGAGAAAGAGCTACAACTATTTCGCTAAAATTTTTTTATCAGAGCAAGCATTTACAGAAATCTGACAAAGAAGAATTTTATCTTGAAATGCTGCCTAATAGATACGGTTGACAATCCTAAAAAACCCTGAAAAATTCAAAGATAACGAACGTGTTATTTTCAAGATACTCTATTTTTAAGTGTGCTTGACTATTGTATCCTTCTGTGTAACCCATTGATGGCCAGCTATGGGTCTGAACCTTTGTAGGCTTTTTTTAGTACATTAGAAATCTACTTGTAGTCATAATATAAAATCAAATCGTATTCAATAGTTAGGCATATTTGCTCGTTATTTTTATGTGACTTTTATTTCATTTTTCATTGCAGAATTTATGCAACGTTCAATCAGTGTTGATCCTTTACAATTATCTATAGAAAAACCAACATCAAGAAGACCTTTGACACCAACTCTAAGTGTTGACATATCGAATGTTCCTCAGACACCATCTACTCCAACTGCAGCACTGCCTCCACCTCCGCCCCCACCTCCACCACCGCCACCACCAATTGCATCATCATCTTCTGCTCCTCTAGCTGCTAGCGATGGTGATCGAGCACAACTATTAAGTTCAATTACAGACTTTAGCCTTGCTAAACTAAAAAAAGCCAAAACCAATGATCGTAGTGCACCAAAAATATAATAAACATATCTATCACACTCATATATTTAATATTATGACCTTTGGTTTCTTTTTACTAGAATGTATGTGAGAAGCCTTTTTTCTATGTGCGTATATTGGTCTTTCTGAATATTGTATTTTTCATAAGATATCATTCAATGTGATGCAATTGTCAATGACATGTTGAAGTAAATTAAAACAAGAACAGACTTCTTTTTTTGCTTTACAAACAATAACTTTGAATTGATGTAAATCAATTTCTTAATCAATCGTAGAAGCTCAATATGTTGAACAAATGTACCGATTGAGTTTTCATTGAAGTTTTATGCATATAATGCTGCATCCATCATGACACTATGTAGTCAGTATGTTTCTATTCACAATAAGCTATCAGTTGAGAAACAATAACAATGCGCTTTGCTTCATCTTGGATAATTAAATTAACCGATATAGGTTAAAATATCGTCTAAAATTGTCAATCTAGCCACTCGTAAAATGTATAAAACCAACACGTTTCAATTAGAATGTGGGTGTGGGTGGAGGTGAAGAGAAGACTCACGCCAACCAATGCCAAGATGCACACTCATCCTTCATCGTCATCGATTACTTCATCTAAGAAAGATCTATTCTCACCACAGTTGATAGAGGTTGCAGTATTCATTCGTAAGGCTCTTGAAACGGAAGGAACCGATAGAAAATCTTTCGTATTCTATGGAATGACGACGACATTACCCGAGCAAGCCTTCGCTGAAATTGACAGTCACCTTATTGAATGCCAGCATATAGGCTCAGAGCTTGTGTCTTGAGAAGAAAAATTGCCTGTTTTATAGATTTTTATCTTTCTCATCCAAACCAAGTACACTTGATATTCTTTTTCATCGTGTTATCCTTTTCATAACATAGAGAGCCCATTTCTCGCGTCCATGATAAATTTAATCGTGAGAAATTGTTATTATCAATGAAAGAACATTCGATTAGGAATTCGCACATTTGCAGACTGAGAACTGGATAAAATCGATTGCAGTTTGAATTTTCTTAGATTCAACTTTTCAACAATTTGGATGCCTTCCAGATCAAAAACATTCGAGATTCGTTTCCAGTAATTTTTGCTGTGTACTAGGAGGAGAAGCCGCTCGGGTGGACACCCCCACAGAAACTACTTTTCACTTATTACAAAATTATTGTTTGCCGAGCAAATAGTTATAAGTTATACACGCAACTCAGATAGGTCTGTGGTCGAACCGTATCACTTCGATGCCAGACCATTAAGGGTACCCCCCCGTCTTTTTTGGCCATTTCTAGTTCTCAAAGAGGGTACAATCGATTCGCCTGAAATTTTTACCGCAGTTAGATCATCTAAAATAAGCTTACACGTGTTTGAGGGAAAAAGTTTTAAAAAGGCTTTTTGCGATGTCTTTGGAAAAATTCTAGTTTTCCATAGGGAAGGCATGGCAAGTTCCTTTTTCCAGGAAATTCAAATTTCATCACATGAATAATAAACCAAACACATAATGAAAGAGAAGCTTTTCCTATCCTAACTCTCAGTTGCTTAAAGCCACTCAATCAAACAACCCGATTAAAAACCGAAGAAAATGATCAGTGCCCATATACTGTCATCAGTTCCCACTCACGAGGGAAGGTCCCGAAGTGTTACGCTCCGTTTCGAATCTGGCATTGGCCATTTTGTAGAACTCAGTGAGTACAGCACGTAATATAAAGGGTTCGTCCCCATAGTGGACTTTTGATGAACTACGAGGTACCACAAAGGGCGTCCTATAATCACTGAGGATAAATTGTTAATGGTATTTTTCATAATTTTTCTCAATGTAGAGACCTGAAATTTTTATCACATATATATCTAACCAAGATCTTTTATTCCTGAAGGTTTCAGCTCTCTAACTGTACCTAGTAGTGAAATACATAGATGAGATTGAAACTCAAATTCCCACACTCGATTTTTGAATTATTTTCATTGTACGAAAATTGGTGTTTCAATCTTATCTATGTATTTCACTACTAGGTACAGTTAGAGAGCTGAAACCTTCAGGAATAAAAGATCTTGGTTAGATATATATGTGATAAAAATTTCAGGTCTCTACATTGAGAAAAATTATGAAAAATACCATTAACAATTTATCCTCAATCATTATAGGACGTCCTTTGTGGTACCTCGTAGTTCATTAAAAGTCCACTATGGGGACGAACCCTTTATATTACGTGCTGTACTCACTGAGTTCTACAAAATGGCCAATGCCAGATTCGAAACGGAGTGTAACACTTCGGGACCTTCCCTCGTCAGTGATTTCTATCCGATAGATAGTGCATCCAGAAAATGCAAATAGTCTAGTACGGTTGGGTTGACTGAAGAAATTCATCTTAGCTTGTAAGTGACTATCTATATTTATTTGGGCTGGGTTGGGTTGGGTCGGGTCGGGTTAGGAAATTCCTTTTAACTTGTAAGTTAGCATCTATATTTATCTGGGTTGGGTTGGGTTAGGAAATTCATTTTAACTTGTAAGTAACTATCTATATTTATCTGGATTGGGTTGGGTTCGGTTAGGAAATTCATTCTAACTTACAAGTGACTATCTATATTTATTTCGGTTGGGTTGGGTTGGGTTGGGTTGGGTGAGGAAACTCATTTCAACTTACAAGTGACTATCTATATGTATTTGGGTTGGGTTGGGTTGGAAAATTCATTTTCGCTTACAAATAATCATAGATAATATGTACGTTTATTGAGGCTACCATAGCGTAAATTTAAGTTCGAAATTAATTTTCGGTGACACCCACAAATTGACTGCCAGCTTCTCCGAGTACTTCCTGCCTGACATTTGGTCATCCAAGACCCTACCGACAACTACTAATTAAAACCTAGACGTATAGAGCGCAAGATCCCCATGGCAAGTGAAACCATCGTCGCAACGAGATCCCCAAGCCACACCATATCAACACTCCCAACGTCATTAACACACATCCCGCACCTGCACCCACACTCCACACCCACACACCCATACAGTCACACCCACATCCGTACTCATACACCGGCACCCTCAAGAGTTCCTCCCTGGCACCCACACTAAGAGATGCAATGTTTAAGTCCTTCTGTGGCACCCACACTAAGAGATCTGATGTTTGAGTTCTTCCGCGCCACCCACACTCAGAGATGTAGTGTTTGAGTCCTTCCGTGGCACCCGCACTAAGAGATATGATATCTGAGTTCTTCCGTGGCACCCACACTCAGAGATGTGATGTTTGAGACCTCCTGTGGCACGCACACTAAGTGATATGATGTCTGAGTCCTACCGTGGCACCCACACTAAGAGATATGCTGTCTGACTCTTTCCATGGCACCAATACGAAGAGATGTGATGTCTGAGTGTTCATTCTCGGAACTTGATTTCAACACCTCCTGTGCTATGCGCCACCTGCTACATGTTGTTGGTCGCTGGCAGTCCGTTGTACTGTGTTCTAGTCTCTGGCGGTCCCTGGTACCTTATGAATCTGAAAAAAGATAAAGATATTTATAGTCACTCTGAGTCCGCTGTCCCTTTTTCGATTGTTCCGGATTATTTTCTAATTCATATCCGTCATCCAGGGCCCACACTCACACTCACACTCCCAATAATATATATACAAATAAAAATGAATTTCCTCACCCAACCCAACCCAATCCAACCCAATGAAATATAGATAGTCACGTGGGAGTTAAAATGAATTTCCTCACCCAACCCAACCCAATCCAAAGAAATATAGATAGTCATGTGTAAGTTAAAATGAATTACCTCACCGAACTCAATCCAGCCCAAAGAAATATAGATAGTCATGTGTAAGTTAAAATGAATTTCCTCACCGAACCCAACCCAACCCAAAGAAATATAGATAGTCACGTGTGAGTTAAAAGGAATTTCCTCACCCAACCCAACCCAATGAAATATAGATAGTCACTTGTGAGTTAAAATGAATTTCCTCACCCAACCCAACCCAATCCAAAGAAATATAGAGAGTCATGTGTAAGTTAAAAGGAATTTCCTCACTCAACCCAATCCAACCCAATGAAATATAGATAGTCACGTGTGAGTTAAAATGAATTTCCTCTCCCAACCCAAAGAAATATAGATAGTCACTTGTAAGTTAAAATCAATTTCCTCACCCAATCCAACCGAACCCAAAGAAATATAGATAGTCACTTGTCAGTTAAAATGAATTTCCTCACCCAACCTAACTCAAATACATATAGATCCTTAGTTGTAAGCTAAAATGAATTTCCTCATCCAACCCAAATGCATTGATGTTGAAATAAGCTGTTAGCATTCGATATCCATATTAATTGACAGTAGTTATTTGGAAAACTGTTGGCTTGAATTTCCAGGAAAATCTCTTCATAGCCAATTTGTTTGAATTTTCAGGAAAGAGGAACTTGCCATGGAGTGTCCATAGGTCCGTATCGGGCCACAATACGACCTCCATCAAATTTTATCCGATTGCGCGGAAAATTTTTTTTTTGAGATACCTAAGACTACATCTCAGAGGTAGTTTTGAGCTTTTCTAAAAATCTCGCTTTCTTTTGTTTTATGAGAGAAATACCGAAAGGTTCGGATCCAAAGTCCGGGTCTTGGCGTTCACAACTCTATAGATCTGGATAGGAAGGTCCAAAACGGAAACGGCTGATTCTACCTCTGAAGAATACTTTCAAGTATCTGTGGTAAAAATTTCAGTCCGATCGGACAAAGTTAGAGGGGGGGGGGGGGTCGTAAGCAGGCCCGATTGAGAGAACTGTAGTTTTGCGTTACGCTAAGTAAAGGGAAAAAATTTCTTATGATTACTATGAAAAAAGAAATTTCTTTAATTCAGTAACTGTGTAATAGTAAGGTGTTTAGAGTGGAATGATCTCTCTAATTGCACATAACACTTGAGGCTATCATTCCTTTTGCCCAACTCTCGATCAAGTTTTTGATCGAAAAAGAGGGGGAGTACCCTTAATTGACGAATGTCACAGTACGAACTAAGGATCTTGAACA